CTCAGCCAGTGAGCGGCCGGTCTGTATGTGGGATCCGAACCCTCGGCGGGAGCGCTGCCGTGCTTCCCAAGCGGCGCACTGTAGCAGTGTGCCACCGGGCCGGCCCCCTAAAATTCATATTTTTAATAACTTCTCAAACCTTTTGTATAACTTCTAACAAGTGGGAAGCTAAGTGATTATATCACTTACAATTTCCTCTGCCTTTTTCAGATAGAAGGATTAGTCTACCTGAACAATGAACAGAAGGCAAAAGGGCATTAAGGAACAAGTGACTTGATTAGTTAAACAATCCCAATAATCAGGTCTTCCATGGAGATATTTAGGTACCACAGATACGTAGGGTTCTGTCGTATTGTTCCAAGGAAAGAGAAGCAAATGGTGTGAGAGAAGTGAACAACACAGAGTAGGAAGAGAATTTCAATCAATACATTAAAAGAGAGTCGGGGTAGGTAGTAGTAAGAAGTGGAAAAGTGGCCACAGAAGCCAAGAGAAGATGGTGTCAGTTACTCAGACCCTTGGTAAATAAGACATTGTGACAACTAGCAGGGAAGAGGCTACTAGCCTCTGATTTAGCACTCATACTCATTACATTGCTAATATCTTCATGCTTCTCTTTAGGACATCCAAACATGGGTGGGCCAATGCAGAGAATGACTCCTCCAAGAGGAATGGTGCCCTTAGGACCACAGGTAAATAAATAATCAGTGCAGAAAGTTAGATGCTGAGCTTTTGGCCTTCATCCTATTTAAACAAACTATGTTATTTGCTGCATTTTATAATACTCATTAAAGTCTTGATATAACATAGCTGTTAGGCTCTTGAGGATAGAATATCTATGACATGTCTAAATATGTCATAACAATGTATCATATTTTAACAGGATGCTGTCATATATGCCTTTAGTTTATTTGAGAAAATACACTGTATAGAAGTACATTTTAAAAATTATTAGTAAAAGATAACTATTACCCTTTTGTTAGTTATACTGAGGAAATGGTTGAGTTAAATAAAACTCAGTTGACTGAAAATATTAAATAGGATAAGGATAAAATATATCTTCATAAGTCTTTTAAAGAATGCCATTGACAATTTATTATATAAAACCGTGTTTCTTATAGAATAGGAAAAAAATAATCATTTAAAAATAAATGTAAAAATGGGTCTTACTGTGCAAACATAATACTATTAGTGTATTTCAGATGTCAGCCGACTTCTCTATCAATGTTTCCCAGAAATATACACTGAGGCTGAACCTGGCCTAGTTGTCGATGACATTTTAAGCATGCTGTTCAGGATATAATTTACCTTAGCTAAATCATCTTTTTGTCTCTCTTGGAAAAATTGCATGAGGTAGAAATTAATTTTATAATGTTTTATTTCAGAGAAACTAATCCAAAATCCAGAATTTTAAATTTCTACCTCATGGGTCAGAGGTTATCATGTGTCAGAGGTTATCATGTGTCATAAAGTTAGTTAAAAGAATTAATTTATTTATTTTTCCCTTCCAAGAACAGCATTATAAGTGACAGTTTTAGGAGCTTACTTCATGTATCTACTTTTAAAAAATTAAATTGACATTTTGTTGTGCCCCCAAAGGAGTCAAAGAATTAAGAACACAATACCCAGATAATGTGCCTTAGACCTAGGACTTTCTAACCACCTACAATAATATTTATTAACTATATTGAAACATGAAGTTCATATATCCAAATTTTTCAGAGATGCCATATTAAATGAAAAAACCCACTATATAAATATATGTGTCAAACACAAAGCCAGAAGAAACCAATTTATTTTATTTAGGCTTAATTTTTTTCTATGTATTTTCTTAAGATCTTATAAAACTCATTTAGGCATTTAAATTATTTTTTCCTATTTCTACTCATATTAGGAATAATGCTTTATGTTAACCAACCATCATCAAGCTATTAATTGCAGTTACAATTTATAAGAGCTATAGGATATTTCATTGACTAAATGTACCTTTAGTGTTTAGTAAACTAAGCCAGCCATAATTTAGAGGATTTTTTCCAGAAGATTTTAAAAATAGATACATTTTCAATATTCATTAAAAAGCTAATGCCTGTAATTTGGTTGTTCTTCATTTAGTTCACATATTTTCATTTAGCTGCTCTTTAGGATTTTGTCATTCCCAGACTTTAGTTTTTAATTACTTAAAAACTAGAATCTGATTTGAGTCAATTTTGCAGTATTTAAGGAGGTATATCAATGTTTACCTAAGCTACATAAACACTTAGATCTTATTTGAAAATGCAGGAATAAACAGCATAGTGGTCTTTATGCTTTCTGTTATAAATAGCTATATGTTTATATGTTTTGTGTTATAAGTAAATTACAACAGAAAATAAAACTTCTATTTCTGGTGATTAATCTCTTATTGATGAGCTTTAATAAATAAGCTTATTATATTAGTGTGAATTCTTTCTTTGCATTTTCAGAATCAAAGAGAGTATTTTATTTCTTCCATTTGGATTAGCAGTGTCCTTGCTATCTACTTCTATATAATATGAGGGAAATAAAGTGTTATGGTATGAATTTACCTCAGAAATCAAAAATACCTATAATAACTTTTTAAAATCAGAGTGTACAAAGTAAAAAGGGTTAGAGAAAATTATCTATATGTATTACGCATTTAAACGAAAACATGAGTCATATTCATATGAATGGTACAATAGGAAAAAAGTCATTTGGAATGAGGGGAATGTTGTGACATATTTACTTCATAATACCTGGTATATAAAATGTATAATACATTATAAACTCTGAAACCTGAATAAAGGTTAGCTGTGTTTCTTGAAAGACAAAAAACCAATTCTCATGACAGACATTTAATCATATAGATGCCATCCAGGAGCAGAATGCATCTGCCTGTTTTTAATTGTATTGTAGAAAGTCTCTGGAATATTATCTCTAGCTTTATGTGCAAACAAAATACAGATCTCTTTTTTTAAATCATAGGTATTATTTCCATAAATTTTTGAGCTTAAGATCAATGTGGTGAAGGGGGACAGTAGTTATCTATTGGATCGAATGAATTTCTAAAACAAAGTAGTATATAAAATCCAATGATTCTTGGATAATGCTGATTTAGGCAGAGTGCACACGTAGAACATTGTAAACATGTGATTAACACTTATTGCAAGGATGAAGAAATAAAAGTTTGCCCCAAATCCTGGCATTTTTTCATGCTCCTTAATCTATTTTAGATCTCTAAGTGCAGTGGTAGTACATGATTTTTAAATTGATATTAGTGTCTTTTTTATTAGAAAAGCAAAATTATCCGTTTAATCAAGAAAAATGTCTTTCCTAATACCATATTTGAAACTGTTTTTCCACTTGCTTTTATAATGAGATGTACTTAGCTAACCTGTGTTTTAAAGCTCAGTGAGTACCATATGATTGACAGAAAGACTTACTAAAACTACGCATCTAGTTCTAGTTCCTCTGAAATCTGAAGGAGAAAGAAGTTACATGTAGGGGCCGGCCCGGTGGCGCACTGCTACAGTGAGCCGCTTGGGAGCGCGGCGTCGCTCCCGCCAAGGGTTCGGATCCCACATACAGACCTGTTCCTGCTCACTGGCTGAGCGAGGTGCGGGCGCGACGCCGAGGGTTGCGATCCCGTTGCCGGTCCTGGTCCGGTACGGGCGCGACACTGAGGGTTGCGATCCGTTGCCGGACACGAAAAAAAGACAAAAAGGAAAAAAAAAAGAAGTTACATGTAGGGGCCGGCCCGGTGGCGCACTGCTACAGTGAGCCGCTTGGGAGCGCGGCGGCGCTCCCCCCCAGGGGGCGGGGCCCA